ACAACGGCAACGTTTCTCTCTCAGCAACAGCTACTGTGATTGTCAAACTTGTGGAGCCTAAAGAGGCTTTTGCAGCTTCTGATGTTAAAAGTGCAACGAAGGATAATGAGGACAGTAATGTCATATTTTACCTCATGATAACTTTGGGCGCAGTTTCTGTACTTTTTCTCATCAGCATCATCGTGCTGATTGCGATGCAGTGCTCCAGATCCACAGACGATACTTCCAAGTATTTACAAAAGGCAGATTATGACGGGACACTGTGTCACAGCATCCAGTACAGATCAGGAGACAGGAAGTACATGCTTGTTGGACCCAGAATGAGTATAGGATCTACTATAGTTCCGGGCAGCCATGCAAATACTCTGGTGATGCCAGACAGAAGACGCCCACCTGAAGAGGTGAGTAATAACGTGTTGCCATGTATTCTACCTATTCTACTCCGAGTAATGATTTTTGTCATTATTCTCAATGGTGGTGAAACTGGATTTGGATAGAATTTCGACAATGACCTCAAACACGTCAGTTTAGTGATGCAGTAGCCATAATTATTTGTCAGCTTGATATCATAAATTGTACTATTACACATATTCACAAGGTGGCGGTACCTTGTCAGTATAACGCCTTATAGCGTCTCTGAACGTCATACTCGAGTCCAACCACGCTACATGCAGTCTGGTTTGAGAGCGTTTAGTTGAAAGACTTGCTCTAAGCGTGTGGTGACTATTATTTTATACTGGCAAATAATATACGAGAAGTGGATTTATTTCTTGCTGCTATGGAGACAAAAATCTAAACATGTGGCGAATGATGGAAGCGTTTGGATTTTTACGTTTACCTCACAGTATGAAACAAAGGCGACGGGAATCATGGCGACAGCGATCACCACTCATCAGCGTTTTTGTTGTGCTTTTATTTTTCACAATCGCTTCAGGACAGCTGAGGTACTCTATATCAGAAGAGCTAACAGAAGGGAGTGTTGTTGGGAATATCGCTAAAGATTTGGGAATAGATCTGAATATAATGAAGCAGAGGGGATTTCGCATTATATCTGGCTCGACTGAACCTCTTTTCAATGTAAATGAGGATGATGGGGTCCTTTACGCAAAGCGCAAAATAGACCGAGAGGAAGTATGTAAGGATAATAATGTTTGTGTAATTAGTCTCAAAACTGTGCTTGAAAACCCACTAGAAATACATTATGTCATAGTGGAAATAGCGGATTTAAACGACCACTCTCCTGCATTTCCCGACAAAGCTCAGAAACTAGAGATCTCCGAATCTGCATTACCAGGAGCACAGTATCAGTTACAAAACGCTCACGATCCGGATAGTGGCACAAACTCTATCCAAAAGTATAAAATAAGTCAGAACGACCATTTTCGTTTAGAGATTAAAGACAGAGGCAAAGATGGTAAAACTCCAACTTTAACGTTGGGTAAACAGCTAGACAGAGAGGTTAAAAGTAGCCATAAATTGGTGCTCATGGCTATAGACGGTGGAACACCTCAAAACACGGGGACAGTTGAAATATACATAGATGTTTTAGACGTTAATGACAACATGCCAGTGTTTATCCAAGATACATATTCAGCTGTACTACAGGAAAACACCCCGGCTGGCACAACAGTCATTCAGGTTAACGCAACCGATTTGGATGATGGTTCCAATGGGGAAGTAGTTTATTCATTTGGCAGTGGCGTAAAAGGTAAAATTCGAGAGCTTTTTGATATAGACTCTGTTACTGGGGAGATAATTGTAAAAGGTCACATAGATTTTGAAGAACAAGACAGCTATCACATTGATATACAAGCCTCTGATAAGGGAAGCATTCCATTTAAAACTTATAAAAGTGTGATAATTAACATTGGAGACATAAATGATAATCCCCCTGAGATAGAAGTGGCATCGCTGTCAAGTGCAGTTTCAGAGGACTCTAGACCAGGAACAACGGTCGCGCTTCTCAGCATTACAGATTCAGACTCTGGGTTAAATGGAAAAATAATCAGCTATATCGCAGGGGACAGCCCTTTTACACTAACTCCGTCAATACAAGATAACATGTTCGCCGTGGTCACCAAGTCACAGCTGGACAGAGAGCAACAATCAACATATGATATAACAATAATTGCAAAGGACGCTGGTGAGCCAGCCTTAACATCGGAAAAAACAGTAAACGTGTTTGTGTCAGATACGAATGATAATAGTCCGCAGTTTTCAGCGAGTCCCTATACGTTCTTCATTGCCGAAAATAACCCACCGGGAGCTTCTGTGTTTTGTATAACCGCATCCGACAGTGATGAAGGAGATAATGCGATTATCTCATATCATATT